TATATATATATATATATATATATATAATGTAGCCTGCATAAAAAGATTTCATGTCAGCCTAATTATATTGCTTTCAAATTCTACTTATGTTTCATTGGAACACAACTATGTGGTAGCTTTTTAAGGTGGAAAGTGCTCTAGAGATGTTGATAAAATAGAGCTATAAATCATGATTCAGAAAGAATTAATGTTTGAAGAATAGTGACCAGAAAGAATTTTGTAAATTTGCTCTACATGTATGGCTTTTATCTTTAGCAGATGGTAGCTGTGTTAGGGTTCTTCAGTGAAACAGAGCCAATAGCATATATATATTGGGAGAAATTTATTATGAGGAATTGAGTCACCCAATTATGGAAGCAGAGAAGTGCGATAGTCTAATGATTCCATTGCTTCAAATGCTGATCTCATCCAGAAACACCCTCACAGATACACTCAGAAATAGTCTTTTGTTTCAGTTAAGTTGCCATATAAAATTATCACATTAGCAGATACGAAATTCAGGGTTAGAGTGAAAGTGTTTCTCTCTTATCTTTCCAGATGACTTCTATCCTTTTACTTTTCTTTTGTCGGAATGCCTTAAAAAATACTCTGATCTCATCCCATCTCATGTCTTTCAAATGGGACGTATATTCAAGACTTTCAAATATGTATCTCCAGCCTAGATTGACATGAAACATGGTATGTTCAAAATCATAAACATGATTTTTTTGTTTTAGAAAATATTCCCCTACCAGGGTGCCTGGGTGGCTCAGTCAGTTAAGCATCCAGCTTCGGCTCAGGTCATGATCTCCCTGTCTGTGAGTTCAAGCCCCATATCAGGTTCTGTGCTGACAGCTCAGAGCCTGGAGCCTGCTTTGGATTTTGTGTCTCCTCTCCCTCTGCTCCTCCCCTGTTCACATTCTCTATCAAAAATAAACATTTAAAAATAAATAAATAAATGATAGAAAATATTCCACTCCTAAAAACTAACTTCTTTGTCTTTTCTTTCCTTAGTAATTATGTCTCCTTTTTTTTTTTATTTTTTTATTTTTTTTTTTTTTTACTTTTTATTTTTGAGAGAGACAGAGACAGAATACAAGTGGGTTAGGGGCAGAGAGAGAGGGAGACACAGAATCGAAGTGGGCTACAGGCTCCGAGCTGTCAGCACAGAGGCCGACTCAGGGCTCGAACTCACGAGCTGTGAGATCATAACCTGAGCCGAAGTTGGATGCTCAACCGACTGAGCCACCCAGGTGCCCCTTATGACTCCTTTTTTTTCCTGTTGCAGATTTGTCAACATTTCCCTCAGATTATATCCAGTTCTGGCGACTTCTTACTACATCCATTATTAAAACCCTAGTCCTCTTTCATTATCTTCTTTCATCTGGATTATCACAGTGGCTTATTAACTGGTTTTCCTGCTTCCACTTTTGTTCCCTGTTAGTGTTAACATAACACTCAGAGTGATCCTTTAAAGAAGTAAGTCAGGCTATGTTATTCTTGAGCTTAGAACTTTTCAATGTCTTCCTGTCTCATTTAATATAAAAACCTAAGTCTATATCCTGCATTACAAGACCTACAATGAATTGGCCCTCTCCCCACTCCTACTTTTCTCTGAACTCCTCTATTGCTGTTCTTCTCTTTGCTTATTCACTTCCAGCCACACTTTCTTGTGGTTTGAACACACCAGATGTTTTCCCCACCTTAGGGCCTTTGCACTTGACGAAATACTCTTCCTCATTCCTGTCCAATCTGGACTCAAAGATGTCAACCTAGAAAGAATTTTCTTGCGTATCTCATGTAATCTCTTTCCTTGATTTATTATTTTTCTTTACTGCTTATCAATATTTAATAGACCTTATATTTTAACTTATTTATATTGCTTATTTTCTACAATATCCAGAATTTAAGCTGGATGAGATTTTTTTGGGGGTTCAACATTATACCCCTGTGTGTACATTAATTATTTACTTATAGTATGCATTCAGTATTTGTTGAAGAAATAAATCACACATAACCTCTTCCAAAAAAAAAAAAGAAATAAAATTATCAGCTTATTCAAGGCAGCATGCTAAAAAATTGATTTCATAGGAAATGTGAAGTAATTTATTTTTGCTTAAAATTTAACAAATATAAACAGAGTTTAAGAAAATGAGTACTCATACACAGCTGGTTGGAATTTAGCTTGGTCAGACATTCTAGAGGACTATGTAAGAATTGTTAAAAGTCTATAAAAAGGAACAAATATTAGGAATTCTGCTTATTGGAATTTTTTGTGCTAAAATACATAACTACAGTTCTTAGTACAAGCATGTTTATCTTATAGTAGTGTCATAAAACTGTAAACTGGGTAAACCTACAAAAATGAGAGTGATTTGGTAAAGTGGAATACTTTGTAACCATTAAAAAGTTGTGTTGTAGATTAATTCGTCATAGAAAGGTGTTTGTTATATATTAGGAAAAAATAGGCTACAAAATAGTTCATATATTGTTATTCCACTCCCCACTCACCCTCTTTTAAGGTGTAAATGCATAGCAAAATAACTGAAGTACCAAAGTATTAATGATTGTTATTTCTGGTTTCTGAGATGATTTTTTTTAAAACAGCTTTTTCCCTATGCTTTTCCATTTTATCAGATTTTCAACAAAGATCTGATACTAAAAAGCAAACTCTCCTAGAAATGCTGTTGCTATCCTGCTTGCTTTATTTTTCTTCATAGTTGTCACTCTCTAACTTCTGTACGTTTTACTTATATTTTATTGACTATCTCACCATTACCCCCACTAGACAAATTCTAAAGGGTAGGGACTTTGTCTTGTTCAGTGCTGTATCCCAGAGTGCTAGGAAAGTGGCTTGTATATAGTAAGTGCTCCATAAATATGTGTTGAATAATTAATGAATGTATTGGTTTTGTTTTAAGGAAGAAGGCTATGGTAAATATCATCTTGAAAAAAATGTCCTAAGAAAAAAATACTGCATGGGAAATGAACACCACATTTTATAGCATATGGTTTTATTTATTTTATTTTTTTAAAGTTTACTTATTTTTTAAAAAATTTTTTTTTCAACGTTTATTTATTTTTGGGACAGAGAGAGACAGAGCATGAACGGGGGAGGGGCAGAGAGAGAGGGAGACACAGAATCGGAAACAGGCTCCAGGCTCTGAGCCATCAGCCCAGAGCCCGACGCGGGGCTCGAACTCGCGGACCGCGAGATCGTGACCTGGCTGAAGTCGGACGCTTAACCGACTGCGCCACCCAGGCGCCCCTACTTATTTATTTTGAGAGAGAGAGAGTGATGTATGAGTTGGGGAGGGACAGAGGGAGAGAGAGAATTCCAGGCAGGCTCTGCACTGTCAGTGTAGAGCCTGTCACGGGGCTTGATCTCACCAACTGTGAGATCATGACCTAAGCCAAAATCAAGAGTCAGACACTTAACTGACTGAGCCACCTAGGCACCCAATGGCATACAATTTTAATTTCAGGCAGAATTTATAATAGATAAAGATTTATAATGAATTTTCTCTTTGTTTTTTCAAGGTTTCTAAATATTCTTTACAGAAGAAAGTAAGTGAAATGGTAAGGAAATTATAGAATATACACCCACTCTCCAGATTGGCACATCATATGTGTTGTATTTTTGTCAGTATAAATGTGGCATTTATAGTAAAAAAAAAGTATTTGCAATTGGATATTAATATCCCATTTAAAGAACTGAATTACAATTTCAAATATAGCTTAAATTAATGTATTTCACAAATTTATTTCCAGATTACATAAATTGTTTATATATCATAAAATAAATTTAACCCAGTCCCAGATTACTGATAGAGGTCTTATTTCAATATCAAACAACAAGGAAATAAGAATAACAAAACCTCTTATTTTATTATTTTTTCTAGATATTTATACAAACGTAATTATTAACGATTGCCTGAAAAAATAATATGAAGTAACATTTGAATACAACACTTGGGCTATGGTACTCATTCTTTACTCTTCAACAAGTGTTTTTCACATATTTCTCTTCTATATATTAAAAATTCATATTTGTATTTTTACAACATAGTATTTTATGGAATATTTAGTTGATACTCTCTCTATCCCTCTTTGATTCAGAAGGACTTTTTTCCTGTATTTTTGATTAAGCAAAATTCTCCCATATCCACTGAAATCTTCTGAGGGCTTTTGGGTAGGCTTATGCTATTTCAGTTGTCATCTTTGGAGCAGACTGTAAGGCAAGTAAAGTAATTTTTGAGTAAGGTTTATATACTATATATATGAGAAGTAAGAAATGAGATATCACTCCTTATTAAATACAGAAAAATAAAGTAACTGTTTTGCTTCTTGAAAATGTTTTTGGTATGTTAGAAAATAAAAAAAAAACATAGAAAGATTGCTAAGCTTGATTGAATAAAAGATGTGAAAATTCTGTCGCTGTTCAACTGGAAAGGATAAAGATAATATTGTCAGACTATTTTAAACTATGATTTTAATTAAGAAGCTGAAAAACTAGATTCCAGTTTAGCTTTAAGTACCATGACATTTGTACTGAAAGTCATCTTCAACGCTACAGTGGTTTTACACAAAATATAGTGAAATTGAATAATGTGCACTCTGACCTGGGAGATAAGGCTACAAGTTAAAGATCAAAGGCAACATAAAATGTATTTATTTTATTCCACTTGAAAATTTCATCAGATACTTATAGTCTTAGAAAAAATGGAAACAAGTTTTTAGTAATTTCTGAGTATTTTGTTAATATGAATGACAACCTCTTAAGAACCTTTTAAAATGATATTTGAGTTATAGTTATAATGTTATTTTCTAACAGTTCAAAGCATTAAATAATTTTGCATTAAAGTAATTTTATATGTTGATACGTACATTTAATATTTTATGCCCATTCTGGCAGAGTATTAAATGTATTTTAGATAATTGATTAAAGAGTTTAAAATAATCTTTTTTTATAAGCATTCTTACATTATTCTTTTTACATTATTTTTATATGATTCAGATGACCTATATTCAAAGTACTGTATTCGGTAATTAACTTAATCTTATTTTATTCAAATCATTTTTCTTTTATGTAACTTAACTCTGTGGTAATTTCTTTTAGGAATTCAATAAGTTGATTTGTGTATGGGTGGTAGAGGTGGTGATATGTCTCTAGATAAATTAACACAATTATGAATTGAAAGATTTGCCTATCTCTACAAGTACCCTAGCCTTCTGTGGAGCAAATGATCACATTGATCATTACGAATAGAAAGAATGCAACAAAAAATAATAAAAGTAAACTGTAGAACATCAAATTAACTGTTATTGTAATTTGATCATTGGTGAAAATCTTTCCGGTTGTGTTCTTATCGTTAGGTGACTATGTTGTATAACAAGTAGCTAATAGGACTTAGTAAATGAAGTAAGAACTCATCTAGCTGGCTCTTATTTATGTTTTATTTTTTTGTGTATTGCTTTCCTTTAAAGAAAAGACTTATAAGAAAGATTTCTTTTTCTTTATTAAATTATAGTTTAAATACTGAAGGTTTCATATGATTTAAAATTACTACATTTTTTTCTTTCATAGTAGAATGTTTTTAGAATGAAGACTTATCTGGAAAAATTATAAATATGTATATCTGTACACACAAAGTATTGTAACTTTAAGTTAGTTTTTTTTTCATGTTTATTTATTTTTGAGAGAGAGAGAGAGAGAGAGACAGCATGAGCAGGGGAGGGACAGAGAGAGGAGACACAGAATCTGAAGCAGGCTCCAGGCTCTGAGCTGTCAGCACAGAGCCCGACACGGGGCTTGAACTCACAAACTGTGAAATCATGACCAGAGCTGAAGTCAGACGCTCAACTGACTGAGCCACCCAGGCACCCCTAAGTTAGTTTTTTTTTTTTTTTAATTTTTTTTCAACGTTTTTATTTATTTTTGGGACAGAGAGAGACAGAGCATGAACGGGGGAGGGGCAGAGAGAGAGGGAGACACAGAATCGGAAACAGGCTCCAGGCTCCGAGCCATCAGCCCAGAGCCTGACGCGGGGCTCGAACTCACGGACCGCGAGATCGTGACCTGGCTGAAGTCGGACGCTTAACCGACTGCGCCACCCAGGCGCCCCCCTAAGTTAGTTTTTTAAAGTAGTATATACCTTCTCTTTGTGACTAAAAAAGGTAAAAATATCTTTTAAAATGTTTAAAACATGAGTTTTATAACCCCAAATTGATTTATTTTGGGTTCATATTGAAGAAATTGAAAGGTAAGTTGCAAAATAGTTTTGAAGAATGTATGAAGTTTATTTTTGTGTTTTTATCTTTTTCCCTAAAATTAACTTAAAGTTAATTATTTTAAGGGAAATTGTTTTTATAAAGGTTTTCAAGTTGGTCTTCATAAGGAAATAAGAAAGGGGGAAAATGAACAATTATGCTTTTAATTAGTAAATATAGTTGTAAAAAGTTGTAATTAGTAAAGACAGTTGTATAAATACTATTTTTTAATTATTCCTATTTTAAATGTCTTGAGGCTTCAAAGTAATCTTTTAGACCACACACGCACACATGCTCTTAATTATGCAGGAGCTGTCTTTTTTTCCTCTAATCTTGATGTTCATGGATTAAGTTTGTTAAAATTTAAGTTTGTATTTGGAAAGCAATGAATCCTAACATTTTCTTATGGACAAGTCCTTGCATTTAGTAGTAAAATTGTGTTAAAAAAGAAAATAGCTTGAATCAATTCACAGAGTTAAAAAAAAACCAAAAAACAAAAACAGTATGTTCTTAACTATTTCTTAATCATCTCAATAAAATTATCTTTATTTATTATATCATGTGTAATATTAAAGTTTTTTTTTTTAATTTTTTTTTTTAACGCTTATTTATTTTTGAGACAGAGAGAGACAGAGCATGAACAGGGGAGGGTCAGAGAGAGAGGGAGACACAGAATCTGAAACAGGCTTCAGGTTCTGAGCTGTCAGCACAGAGCCCGACACAGGGCTTGAACTCACAAACCGCGAGATCATGACCTCAGCCGAAGTTGGATGCTTAACCGACTGAGCCACCCAGGCGCCCCTAAAGTTTTAATAATAAGACTATAAAGTTATGTATATTAGTCTTTAAACAGAGTAATTCTATTCTTGGGTTTCTCATGCAAGTGTCACCAATCTGTTTTTGTTGTTGCTTCCCAAAGAATTTAAGCTATTTGCTGGCATGCAATTAGTGACAAACTTGACAACTGGTTTCTTCATCTGATTATCAAAACTAAATCAGAGCAGCCAACTAGGTTCATATGTGAACAGTCCCATATGGGCCTGTGTGGGCTAATGAGCTGTAGGTGCTCATGTAATTTGAAAGTCTTTATAGTATTTATCATGGCAACTGAATAGGCTAATATATTTGGAAATTATGTAATGCAAACAAATGAAACTGCATTTTACTTGAATTGACTTTGGCTTCAAGCAAAGGATGTTGGATTAGAGTATATCACAAATTATTTTATGTAGAGAAAACCTATGAAATCACTTTAATCTTTGCTCTAGTTTTAGTTATTAGGATTGTTAATCTTTGCAGGCATTGACAGCATATTATGACTTTTTAACTGAAAGATTGAGGAAACCTATATTAATATGTAGTGGACAGTAGTCATAAAGGCTATATAAAAATAGATCTAAACTGAAAAATTGAAAAATTCCTGGTCAACAATGCTATGAAACTAAAAGTCAACCACAAGAAAAAAGTCTGGAAAGACCACAAATACATGGAGGTTAAATACCATGATACTAAACAATGAATGGGTCAATAAGAAATTAAAAAGTACATGGAAACAAATGAAAATGAAAATACAATGGTCAGAAACCTTTTGGATGCAGCAAAAGCAGTTCCAAGAGGGAAGTTTATAGCAATACAGGACTACCTCAAGAAACAAAAATCTCAAACAACCTAACCTCATACCTAAAGAAGCTAGAAAAAGAACAAACAAAACCTGAAACCAGCAGAATGAAGGAAATAATAAATTTTAGAACAGAAATAAATGATCTAGAAACTAAAAACAAAAAACAATAAAACAGATCAATGAAATCAGAAACTGGTTCTGTGAAAAGAATCAATAAAATTGATAGACCTCTAGCTAGACCTATCAAGAAAAAAAGAGAAAGGACTCATAAAACCACAAATGAGATGAGAAGTGACAACCAACACCGCAGAAATGCAATTAGATATTATGAAAAACTATGTGCCACCCTAGAAGAAATGGGCAAATTCATAGAAACATATAAACTACCAAAACATTTAAATCAGAAATAGAAAATTGGAACAGATTAATAACCAGCAAATGAATTGAATAAGTAATTAAACTCTGAACAAACAAAAGTCCAGCACTAGATGGCTTCACAGGTGAATTCTACCAAATATTTAGAGAAAAGTTAATACCTATTTTCAAACTATTTCAGAAAATAGAAAAGGAAGGAATACTTTCAGATTCATTCTATGAAGCCAGCCTTATTCTGATACCAAAACCAGATAAAGACACCACAAAAAAAGATGACTACAGGTCAATATCCCTCATGAACACAGATGCAAAA